AAAAAAAGGTTGGTGGTGAAGGTAAAGCGCCGAGATCCCCTCTCCCCCTCCGGTCCCTTCTCTGGTTAAGCAAGTACAATGGAAAGAAGCTGGAATATACTCACCATCCGAAGGTGTGGTTGGCAGTTCGGCTGAGGCTTTAAGGCAATTATTTATCCTTTCTTTTTTTCTTTTTTTTTTTCTTTTTTTTTTTTTTTAAATATTATTGCAAAAGACGTAGATCTGACTTTAAGCAGCAAAAGTGTTTTGCTCTGACAACAGCATGCGAGGCACGGTTCCTCGTTTAAAAAAAAAAAAAAAAAAAAATGTCCTGTTTAAAAAAAAAAAAAAAATCACAAAACAGGATTCCCCCCCCAACCCCCGCCATCCCTTACCACTATCCCTTAAAAATACCTATTCGGTGTAGCACTCGCTGCAACCCTGATGCAGAAATCTTATAGTCCGGTCTAAGAGTGCCCAAGCCAATTAATTTTAAATCCTTAGGAATTAATCAGATTAAAATGTACAGAAGTTTCATTCTCGTATGCATACGTGAGCCAAAAGTCGTTTCCCTTTAAGAGATCCTTTTCTTTTAAAGTTGAATTTTAGGCAGATAAGAGACTTACACTAGGGGGCAGCCAGATACTGTACTTGCTCCAATCTTAAGCAATTTTTTTTCCTCTCTCACAGCATATGCTCTGATTTAGCACTGTAAATTTTTCAGAGGACCCAACTCTGACAGCCCCTGGTGATTTTCAAAGTACCACAAGCCAGTGGTTAAAAATTGCATTGACTTGGAAGTTCAGAGGCACACAATAGGAGCCACTTTCCCTATTCATGGAACTTCAGTGTGGTGGAAGAGAAAAACACACACACACATGAGGGAGAAGAGGAATTCATTGAATTCTGTTAGACGTAACTGCTTTCCACTGAGTTCAGAGCGAAACTCGGTATTTGTTCGATGCTGTATTCATATTGCGATTTAATCTAGAAAGAATTAGAGGACTGTTAGGCAGCTTTCTGCCAGGAAAGCAGCTTCCCCCTCCTTCCCCCTCTTTTTTTTTTTTTTTTTTTTTTTTTTTTTAACCTAAAGATTTACACCGGCTCTATCCCCAACTCTATTTTAGCAAAATAAATCCTTCCACTCCCTCTCATTAAAATAAATTTACATCTGCAGTAAAATGGCAGGAGGGATGCATTTGTTTATTTGGAAAACCAATACGGTCTTACTTTTAAAACAGAGCATTTCTATTGTCATTAGGCTCGGAGAAGGACAGTTGAGAATCTCCCCCTTCTTTGCGAGGCGCTCAGGTTTCGAGTATTATTTAGCGAAATTAGCTGCAGTTCATTTTTACATTCATCTGTTCTGCCTTAACCCACTCGCAGGGGTGTTTTCGAATAAATAGCAAAGCATCTAATGGTGCTAATAGATAGTTATATCGCTGCATCCCTCGAAGAGCAAACAGTTAATCTGGGGCATTCTTCATTAATGCTTGAGCAATCAGCGTATACGGCGGCTTTTAAGCGTATATCAATGGCTTTTCATTTTTACGATCATACGTTCAAACTATTAATATTGTACGTCCTGTTAAAAACCGCTTTCCCTTCTGATTTCGGCGTTTGTTAAGACGGCGTTAAGGTTTTTGCGTATGGCGAATTAATCCTGTTTACTTTGTCAGATTGGAGACAGGGAAGGTTGGCGTTGGGTTGGTGTTGGTTGGGCTTTTGGTTTGGTTTGGTTTTGTGGTGGTTTGTTGTTTTTTTTTCCTTAGGAAATTCAGCATCAGCAACAATCTGACTATTCTGCATTTTGAACCCCCCCCACCTTCTCCGAAAGGTGACCTCCTCGGCTCTGGGTTATTTGGAAATCATAAGGCAGTCCCCCCATATTTTAACGGGGAAAGGTTCCTTTCCCTCTTTCCGCCTTCCCAGTCCCTCCTGGTCCCTGTTTTCGGGGAAAGGTGATTTTTTTGCACCGTCAGGATGGATGGCAACGCTGCAGCCTTGCCTTTGAAATTGAGCCGCAGAACATCTTCGTCCGGGGGGGGGGGGTTTTAACACCCCAG